TTGTATTCATATACTATGAATTATATATTTAAATAAACAAATTAGACATTAAATTACTTATGTTGAACTTCTCATATATAATCTTGCATTGATATACTTTCAAATATTTATTTAATTATAAACATTGGGTAGAAAAATGCTGTCAAATTATTAAATCAAATAAATAGTTCAGATTGTTTAGATTTTAATTTTTCCTTGAGATTTCATACTTTATCATTAATTATATGATTATTCAATCCGTTAACTTTTCCATTAAGTACCGTTAATTCACTGTTAGTCTAATTATAATATTAAAGTCTAATATAGAATTATAACTACAACATTAATCTAATTCTAATATTAAAGTCTTAATAGAACTCTAATCACAAATCCTACTGCCGGAATCTCCTCAAACAATATTAGTATATATTTAATATTTTATGCTTTAACTTTTATTTGTTCTCCCTTATGTCCCGTATTTGGTTTCAACCATACCCATACAATTATTTTATTGACAATTATAATCAATTTTGACTATATTATCTTGTATTTGTAAACATGGTATTACCAATTTAAATACATAAATTCAACATTTAATTATCTATGCATGAACAATTTTAATATAATATTGTCTTGATATACTTTAAAATACTTATTTAAGTAAAAATATTGGGCATTATCTCAATCGCGCAATGTGCGTAAAAAACTAGTACACTAATAAGAGCCCAAGAGAGTTAGGCCTATAAGTGGTAGAAAAAATGACGGTCAAAATTTTTAATCAAATTAATGACTCAGATTGATCAGGTTTTAATTTTTCCTTAAGATTTCCTAATTTATCCTTAATGAATATGATTATCCGTTAACTTTTCCGTTAAATATTATATTTTCCGTTAATTTCTGTTAGTTTACCGTTAACTTACTCATTGATTTCAATAAAGGTCTTAGATTCGAATCTCATTCCAATCAAAGTTGACATAATTAGTACTCTATTTTACTCTTATTAAATTAAATAATAATTTAGTAGCTACAATAATATATATATCTACTATACTAATAAGAGCCCAAGAGAGTTAGGCCTATAATGGGTAGAAAAAATGGCGGTCACAGATTTTAATCAAATGAATGGCTCAGATTGATTAAAAGATTGATCGGATTTAAAATTTACACTAAAATTTCCTAAAATACCCACACACCGTTACTAATTCCGTTAAAATTTTAAGAATTGCCGTTAGTTCACCGTTAACTTACTCATTGATTTCAATAAAAAAAGTCTTAGGTTCGAACTTCATCCGAATCAAAGTTGGCATAATTAGTACTCTATTTTACTCTTATTAAATTACTAGTTTTTTTACGCGCATTGCGCAATTGGGATAATGCGCAATGTTTTTTTTTTTAAATAAGTACTTTAAAGTATATTAAGGCAGGATTATATTGAAATTGTTCATGCATAGATAATTGAATGTTGAATTTGCGTATTTAAATAGGTAATTCTTCTCCCAAAGGTTGAGTCCCCAACCCCAAGGGCCCCCCACACTCCGACCCGACAGAGCATTGTGGGAAGTTGTAAATCACGGTGACTCAATGGTTCAGCAGACAGGGTCAAATGCTGATACGCACAAGGAATCTGCCCACTTTGGATATAATTCCCGCACTGCCGCCGCTGAGGTTCAAACCTTGGTCTCTTTTCCCTAATACTACCCACTAAACCATTGAGCTAAGCCCTGCGGGTTAGATAGGTAATTCTAAGTTTACAAATGCAAGATAATATAGTCAAGATTGATTATAATTGTCAATAAAATAATTGTATAGGTATGGTTGAAACCAAATACGGGACATAAGGGAGAACAAATAAAAATTAGGGCATAAAATATTAAATATATACTAATATTGTTTGAGGAGATTCCGACATTAGGATTTGTGGTTAAGTTCTATTAAGGCTTTAGTATTAGAATTAGATTAATGGTGTAGTTATAATTCTATATTAGACTTTAATATTAGAATTAGACTAACGGTGAATTAATGGAAAAATTAAATGGATAATCATATAATTAAGGATAAATTAGAAAATCTTTTAAAAAAAAAATTAAAACCTGAACAATATGAACCATTCATTTGATTTAATAATTTGGCGGTCATTTTTTCTACCCAATGTTAATAATTAAATAAATTCGCTGGTCAAATCCGCTAGTATAATCCGCTAACGCTAACCGCTAACTGCTGATTGTCAAACAAGGACATTGCGAGGTAGTTCTCACTTCAATTTGTTCTGTGATTTGAATACTCTCTTTGTCACAAAATCTCTCAAGTAGTTAATATGTTTGGCTTTATTAATTATATTTTTTTTAATTTTTTCATGGTATTAATAAAATACTTGGTAAATAAATATATAGCATTATTTTGTATTATAACTTTGATATTTAATTAGAAAAATAGTGCACAAAAAAAGATAATAGATAATGTAGTGAATATAATCAATTGATGAATTTGAATGTAAAAACTTTACATTTGAGAAAAATAAAGACAATATAACTAATGAAAATATTTCTTTTAATTAATTTATTGATAATTAATAATTTTTTTTTTCACTGAATAAAGACATTGTAAGGATAATGTAGCGAATATAATCAATTAATAAATTTGAATATAAAGAATTTTTATATTGAAGAAAAATAAAGACAATATAACTAATAAAATTATTTTTCTTATTTAATTTATTGATAATGAATAATTTTTTTTTTGAATAAAGGCATTGTGGACACATAATTATAAATTAAATAAATGCATATGTATTATTTTTTGTTGTAACTACTAAATTATTATTTATATAATTTAATAAGAGTAAAATAGAGTACTAATTATGCCAACTTTGATTGGGATGGGGTTCGAACCTAAGACCTTTTTCTATTGAAATCAATGAGTAAGTTAACGGTGAACTAACGGCAATTCTTAAAATTTTAACGGAATTAGTAACGGTGTGTGGGTATTTTAGGAAATTTTAGTGTTAAATTTAAATCTGATCAATCTTTCAATCAATCTGAGCCATTCATTTGATTAAAATCTGTGACCGCCATTTTTTCTACCCATTATAGGCCTAACTCTCTTGGGCTCTTATTAGTAACTATAATAAAATTATTTTTCTTATTTAATTTATTGATAATGAATAATTTTTTTTTTTGAATAAAGGCATTGTGGACACATAATTATAAATTAAAGAAATGCATATGTATTATTTTTTGTTGTAACTACTAAATTATTATTTATATATAATTTAATAAGAGTAAAATAGAGTACTAATTATGCCAACTTTGATTGGGATGAGGTTCGAACCTAAGACCTTTTTCTATTGAAATTAATGAGTAAGTTAACGATGAACTAACGGCAATTCTTAAAATTTTAACGGAATTAGTAATGGTGTGTGGGTATTTTAGGAAATTTTAGTGTAAAATTTAAATCTGATCAATCTTTCAATCAATCTGAGCCATTCATTTGATTAAAATCTGTGACCGCCATTTTTTCTACCCATTATAGGCCTAACTCTCTTGGGCTCTTATTAGTGTATTATTTTTTGTTGTAACTACTAAATTATTATTTATATAATTTAATAAGAGTAAAATAGAGTACTAATTATGCCAACTTTGATTGGGATGAGGTTCGAACCTAAGACTTTTTTCTATTGAAATTAATGAGTAAGTTAACGATGAACTAACGGCAATTCTTAAAATTTTAACGGAATTAGTAATGGTGTGTGGGTATTTTAGGAAATTTTAGTGTAAAATTTAAATCTGATCAATCTTTCAATCAATCTGAGCCATTCATTTGATTAAAATCTGTGACCGCCATTTTTTCTACCCATTATAGGCCTAACTCTCTTGGGCTCTTATTAGTATAGTAGATATAAATAATAATTTAGTAGTTACAACAAAAAATAATACATATGCATTTCTTTAATTTATAATTATGTGTCCACAATGCCTTTATTCAATAAAAAAATATTCATTATCAATAAATTAAATAAGAGAAATAATTTTATTAGTTATATTGTCTTTATTTTTCTTCAATATAAAAATTCTTTATATTCAAATTTATTAATTGATTATATTCGCTACATTGTCCTTACAATGTCTTTATTCAGTGCAAAAAAAATATTAATTATCAATAAATTAATTAAAAGAAATATTTTCATTAGTTATATTGTCTTAATTTTTCTCAAATGTAAAAATTTTTACATTCAAATTCATCAATTGATTATATTCACTACATTATCTATTATCTTTTTTGTGCACTATTTTTCTAATTAAATATCAAAGTTATAATACAAAATAATGCTATATATTTATTTACCAAGTATTTTATTAATATCATGAAAAAATTTAAAAAATATAATTAATAAAGCCAACCATATTAACTACTTGAGAGATTTTGTGACAAAGAGAGTATTCAAATCACACAACAAATTGAACTGAGAACTACCTCGCAATGTCCTTGTTTGACAATCAGCAGTTAGCGGTTAGCGTTAGCGGATTTGACCAGCGAATTTATTTAATTATTAACATTGGGTATAAAAAATGATCGCCAAATTATGAAATCAAATGAATGGTTCATATTGTTCAGGTTTTAATTTTTTTCTTTTAAGATTTTCTAATTTATCCTTAATTATATGATTATCCATTTAACTTTTCCGTTAATTCACCGTTAGTCTAATTCTAATATTAAAGTCTAATATAGAATTATAACTACATCGTTAATCTAATTCTAATATTAAAGTCTTAATAGAACTTAACCACAAATCCTAATGTCGGAATCTCCTCAAACAATATTAGTATATATTTAATATTTTATGCCCTAAATTTTATTTGTTTTTCCTTATGTCCCGTATTTGGTTTCAACTATACCTATACAATTATTTTATTGACAATTATAATCAATCTTGACTATATTATCTTGCATTTGTAAACTTAGAATTACCTATTTAACTCGCACGGGCTTAGCTCAATGGTTTAGTGGGTAGTATTTGGGAGAAGAGACCAAGGTTTTGAACCTCGGCGGCGGCAGTGCGGGAATTATGTCCAAAGTGGGCAGATTCCTTGTGCGTATCAGCATTTGGCCCTGTCTGCTGAACCATTGAGTCACCGTGATTTACAACTTCCCACAATGCTCTGTCGGGTCGGAGTGTGGGGGGCCCTTGGGATTGGGGACTCAACCTTTGGGAGAAGAATTACCTATTTAAATGCAAATTCAACCTTCAATTATCTATGCATGAACAATTGCAATATAATCTTGCTTTAATATACTTTAAAGTACTTATTTAACAAAAAAGCATTGGGCATTATCCCAATCGCGCAATGCGCGTAAAAAACTAGTATATATATATATATATATATATATATATATATATATGTATGTATGTATGTATGTATGTATGTATGTATGTATGTATGTATGTATGTATGTATGCATTTCTTTAATTTAGAATTATATGTCTACCGTGTCTTTACTTAAAAAAAATTATTCATTATTAATAAATTAAAGGGAAAAGGGTCAAATAGGCCCTCAAACTTTTGCTAAATAGTCAATTAGACCCTCTAACTTTTTAAAGGTGCAATTACACCCATGAACAATGCATTTTGAGGCAATGAAGCCCAAATACAGATAAATGACCTGCTATCATAGGTTATTGAAGATCGGACATATTTTCGATGTATTTTTCGACAAAAAGTGACCGGGGCGACAGGTCGCCGGTCACTTTTTGCCGGAAAATACATAGGAAATATGCCCGATCTTCAATGACCTATGATAGTAGGTCATTTACCTGTATTTGGGCTTCATTGCCTCAAAATGCATTGTTCATGGGTGTAATTGCACCTTTAAAAAGTTGGAGGGTCTAATTGACTTTTTAGCAAAAGTTTGAGGGCCTATTTTACCTTTTTCCCTAAATTAAATAGGAGAAATAATTTCATTAATTATATTGTCTTTATTTTTCTCCAATATAAAAATTCTTTACATTCAAATTCATCAATTGATTATATTCACTACCTTGTTCCTACAATGTCTTTATTCAAAAAAAAAAATTATTCATTATCAATAAATTAATTAAGAGAAATAATTCTATTAGTTATATTGTCTTTATTTTTCTCCAATGTAAAAATTCTTTACATTCAAATTCATCAATTGATTATATTCACTACATTGTCTTTTTTTGTGCACTATTTTTTAATTAAATATCAAAATTATAATACAAAACAATGCTATATATTTAGTTACAAAGTATTTTATTAATACCATGAAAAAAAAATAATAAAGTCAATCATATTAACTACTTGAGGGGTTTGTTGACAAATAGAGTATTCAAAACACACTACAAATTGAAGTGAGAAACTATCACGCAATGTCCTTGTTTGACAATCAGCAGTTAACGGTTTTGACTAACGAATTATATCAATGGTTGGTAAAAAGATATTTGAAAAAATTAACATGTAAAATGACCTAAGAGTATATACATATAATAATAATAATAATAATAATAATAATAATAATAATAATAATAATAATAATAATAATAATAATAATAATAATAATAATAATTGTTAAAAAATAATAATAATAATAATTTAATAAAAGAAAAAAAAAACATATGGGGAGCCGAAGTTCGACTTCCCTTAATTTTGGCACTTTTCCCAGGAAAAGGTGACCTAGTGGTTGCTTTCTCTACAGTGCAGGCGATCTTGGTGTTTCTCCGTGACTGGCGATCGTTCGTCAATTGTCGGCCACTTTTTTTTTTTTTTTTTTTTTTTTTTTTTTTTTTTGTCAGAAAATTCGTCGGAGGGTGGCTTGAACCTAATGACCTGTGATAGCAGGTCATTAACCTGTTTTAGACTTCATTGCACTTAAATAAATTGTTGATGGTGTAATTACATTTTTAAAAAATTTAAGGGCTAACTAACTTTTAGCTAAACTTCTAAGGCTATTTGACTTTTTTTCATTATTATTATTATTATTATTATTATTATTATTGTTATTATTATTATTATTATTATGTTCATTTTTCAAGAAAATGAACTAAACAAAAAAATGTAAATTTTTAACTCTCAACCAAATAAAAAAATATAAATTTTTAACATTCAACCAAACACAAAAATATTAAAATATTTTATAAAAAATGAGTTATATTTTTTAGAAATTATTTTCCGAAAAATATTTTTCAAAATGTACAAATCCAACTTAAATCTATTGTAAAATATTTTACACTACCTGATCACAATTTTAAGCTTTTGTAGGGTTTTCTTCGAAAGCCCTTTGTCATATCAATATATCATTCCACCCTTGCTGGTCCGCAAACCCTAGCTTAAACCCTGCATTTCTGAACAATATCTTTTCTCTGAACAACAAAACCCAGCAAAACCAACCGCTTCTCAAGATGGGTATACCTGCGTTCTATCGATGGCTGCTCGAACGGTACCCTCGTTCCGTTGAGCCGGCAGTGGAAGAAACTCCGGCGGTCTTCAACGGCGTTACCGTCCCAATTGACACTTCCGGACCAAATCCTAACGGATATGAATTTGATAACTTGTATCTCGATATGAATGGGATTGTGCACCCTTGTTTTCATCCTGAAGGCTTGGTAAATTCACAAATTTCCAAAAATTTCAAATTACCTTGATTGATTTGGGAGTGTTGTCTTATTGAGAAGTGTGCTTTGATGTTCACAGCCTCCTCCGAAGACCTACGATGATGTGTTCATGGCGGTATTCAAGTATCTTGATAGGGTCTTTTCAATCATTAGGCCCCGGAAGCTTTTATTCATGGCGATTGGTTAGTGAGCTTCTTTAATTCATTTATGCAAATAATCTTTAATTTCTTGGATTAGCAGCTTGGTATTCAGAAATTAGGGTGACCGAGCTGGTTTGGATTTGAAAGGATATATGATGTTTAGAAAGCACGTTGTATGTAACATTTTGCTGTAGTACTGAGAACTTGTGTTTTGACGTGTTGTCTGCAGATGGAGTTGCACCGCGTGCTAAAATGAATCAACAGCGAGCAAGGCGTTTTAGAGCTGCTAAAGATGCAGCTGATGCAGTGAGTTTTCTCATATTTTTTAAATTTTTTTTTATTATATGAGTACTACTTTAAAACAAGATTTTACAAGATTTTATCCTATGATCTCCGCAAGTTATCTCCCTTCTATAAGAAAATTGAAATTTGAATCCTATCAGGCTTCTGGAACAGAGAATCTGAGAAGGATACATGAATCAAAAGGGAAAGATTCATCAGATACTCAAATACTGGATTCTAATGTAATCACTCCTGGAACTGAATTCATGGCTATGCTGTCGTCTGCACTACAATACTATGTACAGACCAGAATGAATGAGGACCCGGGCTGGAAAGGAATCAAGGTAGGATTTTGTATCATCTAAAGCATTTTGTCTGATTCTTTGTTGCTCAGAACTTGCTCTTTCTCATTTGTTCTGATTTTATGGTATGACCTTTTTAGGTTATTCTCTCTGATGCTAGTGTACCTGGTGAAGGAGAGCACAAGATTGTTTCTTACATCCGCTTGCAAAGGAATCTGCATGGATTTGATCCTAACACACGGCATTGCTTGTATGGATTGGTAAATATTGATGCCTAATTTTGATTCCCACCTGGCACCCCAAACAACATGGTGCCTCTGCACATTTATTGTACATGTTGCATTTCCTTACCAATTTATGAACACATTGTGAGGTTGTGTTTTAGGATGCAGATCTGATTATGCTTGCACTTGCCACCCACGAAGTTCACTTCACGGTTCTAAGAGAAGTATGTATTATGTTGAATTTTATTTGCTACCATTATGCTTGGCATATTGTCAAAGTTGTATGAGATTAAATAAGTCATGTTATGGGGTGTGCATAGGATGTTCGCAAAGCACACTCCAAGGATAGAGGTCCAAAACATCAGAAACATGTCAAAGTTGCAGAATGTGGCAAGGAGTTAGAAAATTTTATATCACAACAGACGTTTCAGGTTGGTAAAACTTCTTCCTCTTTCCTTTTCCCACCCTTTCCATATAACCAATGATCTTCCTAACATTATGTTCCACTTGTATTTTAAACATCCCCTCACCCTTTCTTTTTCCAGCTTCTCAGAATATGGGTTCTCAGGGACTATCTAGCTTATGATTTAAAAATACCAGATTCAGCAGTTAAAACAGACCTGGAACGATTGATAGATGATTTCATTTTTATGTGTTTATTTGTTGGAAACGATTTTCTACCACACATGCCTTCGTTGGAGATATCAGAGGTTTGTCTTCTTGTAGTGCTAGTTAGTGTTTCTCATTGAGGGTGTTTGAATTAGTAAGGTCTATTTCTTACCTAACTTCCTTCATTTGGATTTCTTCCAGGGGGCCATTGACTTGCTCATGAATGTCTACAAGAAGGAATTTGTCCAAATGGGTGGTTACCTGACTAATTCTGTTGAGGTATACATGTTAAACCTCAAAACTTGCCTCCTAATTCTTCTGTCATTTCCATTATTTTTTTCGTCAAACTTGTGCAGGTTAATTTGAAAAGGGTGGAGCATTTCATACAAGCTGTTGGTTCATATGAAAATAGGATCTTTAAAAGGCGCATACAGGTTCTGTTTATTTGAACTTATTGACAGTATTACTTAACATGTTAAAGAGTAAATGCAATACTGCCTCATTCTGAACGTATGAGTAAATTCAGGCAAGAAAAGAATGGGAGAGGCCAATGAGACATCATTCCACTAATGTGAGTATGATTTTAACATTGAACCTTATTTTGAGTTCTTGGTGAATAAGGAGTTTGTTATTGAATTTTGAATTGAATATGCTGTGATGGTTGTCTAATCAGTCAGATCCTAAAGGGAATCAGACTAAAAGCCATGCAAATTTCAAGACTGCTTTGGAAGATGACAAGGTCTGTTGATCTTTTATTTTATTTTCAAGTGACTTTATAAACATCATTAACATGCATTGACATGTTTCTAATTCATTATTCTAAATCTTATAATTTCAGGTTAAATTAGGGGAAGAGGGCTGGAAAGACAGATATTATGCAGAAAAATTTGAGGTTGAATCTGTTGAAGACTGTGATAGGGTTCGTAGGGATACGGTAAGAGTATTCATTCTTGCTGTACTGCCTTTAAACATGAAAAAAACTAGAAGATCCCAATCCAGTTGTAAGGATTATTTTTTGTCTTGTTGATTCACTTGGTCATTTGTTTTTCTTTCTTGTTTGGTCTAATTTATATTTTTCCTCTTGGGTTGTGTGGATTGTGACTTCTATACTACATCTGATTTAATTGCAATGGTCCTTACAATGTAGAATATTACTCTGTATATCATTCTTACTTCTAAAACATGTTTAAATTAGGGCTGGTTTTAAGGTATAAATGAATATTACATGTACCTGCTGCATCTCATACTCAAATCAGCTGCAAACTAATCATCTCGCTTATCATGAAATTGAACTTCATCTTCAATTTTCCTTTCAATAACAGCTTTCATTTTTACATAGGTTTTGAAATATGCTGAAGGGATATGTTGGGTGATGCATTATTACTACCAAGGAGTCTGCTCCTGGCAATGGTATGCCCTGTATCCAATGTGCACTGTTTTCAGACGATGATATTAGTAATAATTATGATCTTTGCTTTACTCAACCTGAATTTGTTATGTTGCAGGTTTTATCCTTACCACTATGCTCCCTTTGCATCTGATTTTCATGGTTTTGATCAATTAGACATAACTTTCACACTAGGCAAGCCCTTCAAGCCTTTTGATCAGTTGATGGGTGTCCTTCCAGCTGCAAGGTTTTTGGACTTATTTATACTTTTTTTTAAAGATTCTTATATTAGTTATATATGCAAATATTAATATTCTTATTGTAACCAAAAATGCTGCACACACGTAGTGCACAAGCACTCCCTCTTTCGTACAGGAAGTTGATGACAGATCCACTATCCCCCATTTTGGACTTCTATCCTCCTGGTAGGATGAATTCTACTAATTTGAATTTTTTTTGCTTGATTAGTTCCTTCTGTGAAGTATGATTCTTCTTTCATGGCAGATTTTGAGCTTGACATCAATGGAAAAAGGCATTCATGGCAGGTATTTGTTGATAACCTGCTTTCTTCATTTATGCACATCCTCAGTTCTGGAATGCCCCCTCTGAAACTAACTTTCCTGCAATTCCACATTTCCACTTGTTAGTTTTGCTCCTGTCTTAATTGCATCCATTGATTGCTCCGGTTTATTTTCCTTTGATATGCAGGCTGTGTGTAAGTTACCATTTATTGATGAATTCCGTCTTCTCTCAGAGTTGGCAAAAGTTGAGAATACATTGACGGTAGTTGTTCTTGCTGTGGATAAATAGTCATATTTTTACATTTTTTGGTTGCAACTTTGATAATTTGAATGGTATCTTTGTTATATAGGATGAAGAAAAGAAGAGAAACAGCCTTGGACTTGATATGCTATTTGTTCATGGATCACATCCTTTAGCTGGAAAGATCTTTTCATTCTGTAAACGGAATAAAGATAATCCAAAGTTGACACAGGCAAAAGTGAAGAGGAAAATCAACCCAGAATTCAGGTTTGATATGTTCATGGAGCTATAACATTGAGCAGAATTCACCTTTTGACCTGTGTGTTTTGGGAAAAAAGGGTATTTCACTGATTGATATGCACATAATTTAATGTTTAACCTCTGGGAAATTGAAATATCATGCACCATGTGTATGGAGCAAGGTACATCCTTGTCTCTGATGTTCATCACAATTGTACTCTATGTTCATTGAATTATGCTCTTCCATAAAGGCTACAAATTTGCATGAAATGAAATAACAGTCATGATGAACATGGAGTAAGATTCTGATTAACATTGGTGTATGGCTGCACTTTGTACACAATGATGCCATGTATCAAATATTATGCACACTGTACTAAGGCCATTCATGGAATGCAGCATTGCTAACATGAACTGCTGTTTTGTGTGCGTGTTTAAGATGGGAAATGGTTGGTTGTGTATTTGGATGAATGTGAAGTACTGTAAAGTCTTCAATGCTCACTAAATCTGATGCGCCGCTTTTTCTTTACTTGAAGTTATCTGGTCATTCATCTTTTATACTGTCTACCTTTGCACTACAACCCTTGAGACAAAGGGAAAGACATTCTGCAAGGAGTTCTCTTTCTTTCCTGGTTATTGCTAATCTTTTATGTGTTAGGATTTACAGTTTGATGATAATTGTGCAAGTTAAGACACTAGATTTATTTATTTGTTTAAGATTTATGTACTGCTTTCTTGGTTCTCCAACTTTGAAGCTGAGATTTAAATTTTGCAGCCATGGAATGAATGGGTACTTGTATATTTCTGATAAACCCGTGTGTCCTATAGAGATACCTTCACCAATCAATGGCATGGATATGATAAGAGACAACAAAGTAATGTATGGCGTTCTCCCAGTAGAGGCTTTGCTTTTACTTTAGGCATTGGTGGAAGTGGAGCTGAAAGATTGTATTTTATTCCCTTTTGCAGATGTGTATTTTATAAAGGCCCTTCTTTTCATTCTCATATTAGCAGACTGCCTGAAGGAGTAATATTGCCTGGAAAGGTATGTGACTTTCATCCTCTGTTTTGCTCCTCTCTATTCTAATTCGGGTCTTTATAATCAAAATCTCTCCTTGCATAACTTGTAAGCTATATATATTTTTGTATATCAGGCTATCAAAAAGTATGACATCCAGCCGCCTCCAGTGCTGTGGCATGAGAAGACTGCCATTACCAAAGGGAGAGTCGCTTTAAAGTAAGAAATTCTATTATGTTTGCAACGAGTTATGAATAGTTCTATAAAGGAATCATGCTTTTGAGCTCTAATATCTCTCTACTTGACAAACCATTCCAGGCCTATGCCTCCCCAGTCTATATCGGGATCTTGTTTGGCGAGGTTAGCTCATCGGCTTGTTTTGGAAAATCTTATTGTGAAGCGACAAGGAAATGGGGTTGACATGGCATTGCAAGCACCTTTGTCAAACCAGACATGTCCTGACATGGCATTGCAAGCACCTTTGTCAAACCAGCCATGTCCTGACATGGCATTGCAAGCACCCGTGTCAAACCAGACATGTGCTGACATGGCATTGCAAGCACCTTTGTCAAACCAGACATGTCCTGACAATGAAAACCTTGATGAATGCAGGAAGATGAAGAGTAAGGCTGAAAGAAAAAAGGCTCAGCGCGAACGCAAGATACAGAAACTTAAACAACAGGAAAATGGGATTAACATGGCATTGCAAGGACCTTTGTCAAACCAGACATGTCCTGACAATGAAAACCTTGATGAATGCAGGAAGATGAAGAGTAAGGCTGAAAGAAAAAAGGCTCAGCGCGAACGCAAGATACAGAAACTTAAACAACAGGAAAATGGGATTAACATGGCATTGCAAGCACCTTTGTCAAACCAGACATGTCCTGACAATGAAAACCTTGATGAATGCAGGAAGATGAAGCGTAAGGCTGAAAGAAAAAAGGCTCAGCGCGAACGCAAGATACAGAAACTTAAACAACAGGAAAATGGGATTAACATGGCATTGCAAGCACCTTTGTCAAACCAGACATGTCCTGACATGGCATTGCAAGCACCTGTGTCAAACCAGCCATGTCCTGACATGGCATTGCAAGCACCTGTGTCAAACCAGACATGTCCTGACAATGAAAACCTTGATGAATGCAGGAAGAGGAAGCGTAAGGCTGAAAAAAAAGAGGCTCAGCGCAAACGCAAGATACAGAAACTTAAACAACAGGAAGAGGAAGCGTATAACGATCCCCAGCAAATGTACAGCGATTTCTGGAAAACGATCTGGTGATATATCAACCTGCGTGTAATCAGGAGTGCCTGGCATAACAAAAGACCTGAGCACTTGTTTGCAGGTATCAAATTCTGGATGGTTCGATTACTTCTTGCTATTGTGCAGGAGACATTTTAGTCTATTGATTTACCAACCTACCTGAAGTTGCTGTATTTGAGGTTTTGTTGTATGTTTAGTATTGTGTAGCTGTAGCTGGCCATTGCTTCAATTTTGTTCTTTTGACCCCTTGAGTCCTAACACCCATATCGGTGTAAAATTTTCTATTGAGTAACATTCCTGAATGTACGAGTTTGAGTTTGATATATGTTGTTGGGTAATGTTAGAATTTAAGATTGAGTGTAGGTCACTATTATGTACATGGGTGGGTAAATCAATACTAAAAAGACTAAATCCAATCAATTAGTTAGTTCAACTCATAACTTTATAAATCAATCTATTTTTTTGAGTTAATACCCAAAATCGTCCTTGACTATAGTGGTTTTTCTTAATTTCGTCCTAAACGACTTTGGTGACCTAATACCGTCCTAGACTTTCGTGTTTCGCTCAATTTAGTCCCAGATTTTTGCATTTTTGCTCAATTTAGTCCCTCATTTGTTATTCTGTCCATTTGGTGTTAAATAAATAGACAATTCATTAATTTTAATATTGGCATCTCTTTACTCATAGACATGTGAACTGCGAAATCCCTTTTATTTTACGAATTACTCTCAGAATTACTCCTAAAACTGCGAATATAAAATTTGATTTGTAGGTCCGGGAGTAATTCTGGGCGTAATTCGTACAAGAAAGAGGAATTTCGCACTTCACAAATTGAAAGTAAAGAGAGATCAATATTGACGTTACTGAATTGTCCATTTATTTAACACCAATTTGACGGAATAACAAATGTGGGACTAAATTGAGCGAAACACAAAAGTCTGGGACGATATTAGGTCACCAAAGTCGTTTAGGACGAAATTGAGAAAAACCACTATAGTCGAGGACGATTTTGGGTATTAACTCCTATTTTTCTTTATATTTTTAATGTGAGACTCGGTAACATTTGTGTTTGCTCCATCTAACATAATATAAAGAGTAACTGGAAGAATACTGAAGATGATGCGTTATATTGGGTGGATATAGATCAGTGCACAAAATGGTTTGTTATGAAACACTACAGTTGCTGCTGGCTAACTGTTATTATAAAGCAACTGAAAGTATAGAGTTTAGATATCGTGGCCAGAAATGCAGTTTACACTGTCCAGTGGCCACAGGTAGTGTGCACTGAGTTCGTCTTCTATGCAAGTGTTCACCCTCAAATTCTTTGAATTAGCATTTGTGGTCTTCATTAAAGTTGTAGACCTTGAAGTTAGCTTTCCAATGATATAAAAATCACTTGATTTGGACACTCCAACACCAAGATATGGTCAAAATACGGAGACAGCGCCAATCTGGACAAGAAATGCCACCTTACTATCTTTTGCTTTGCCTTTGCATTGAATTGCCTATATCATCAAGACCACTAAGGCACAAATATTTGGCACATTAAAGAGTGTTGTTCAATCTTTTTTTCTTCATTTTGCCTCACAAAAATATCATCATGCTATGATGACTTGAAATCTTGATCAAATAACTCAATGTTTGGCTCAAAATATCATTTTCTTGTCAAGTCACCTAAGCACAAACAATCATTCCATAAGTTACCAAATTGACTCCATAATATAATGATTAACCAGTAAAAATACCAAAATGTGCAAGGAAAAAGCATTAGTTTTAGACATTCATCAACTCCCTCCACACTTAGACTTTTGCTTGTCCTCAAGCAAAAACAAGAACTAAATCACCAATATAGCACCGAAGTTGATCATACTCCCATTTTGCATAACTTAACAAACTACAATCCAACTCGAAACAACACACTTGTTTCAAGAATCATCTTAGCATTCCACACAAGTTCCATTCTCAAGCCAATAACCAAGCACCAAAATTATTATAGAACGTGAGGATCAAGTGTGCACAAATATTAAGTTGAGATTATGCAAAACTTGAATTTTGAATGAGATTCAATAGGCTTGCCCGTCATACTCCCACTAGTTCAACTCTAAGATTGCATGCTAAGATCAAGTAGGACTTTTATTAGGCTTGTAATGTGGCTAAGGGTGAATGGTTGGCAAAGAAGGGGTAAGAAAATCAAACAAAAGAGAGAACTTCACACTTATTCACAATTGAGATTGGAAGATATATGACATCAAAGAACTAAGGAGCAACTAACAACTAAACACAAAGCAACACTCTAAAGTAGTGGAGGTTGAGAACAATTTTCAAAGCAAACTATCAAACTTTTATTGAACTTCTTCTTTTCCATTTCTTCATCTCTTTTCAACATTTTCATGATTTTTTTTCAATTTTCTTATCATTTTTTTTTGTTTTTTTAAAAAAAAAAAAATCAACAAAGAAACTTTTTCAATAAATCAAGACCACCACACTTAGATAACATTATAGAGAGTGTTGCTAACAAAACAAGCTCCAAAAAGAAAAAAAATCACTTCCAAGAAAAAAAACAAGTGCTTTATTCTCTCAAGGGTGGATGGAAACATTTTGGCTAAGGTTTAAGGGTTAAATGACAAGGGTTAACACAATAAAAACAAACACAAAGGGGATTAAGTGCTTAGCACTTATTGAACAAACACAAAAGGCTCAATGGGGACAACTAGGGGTAAACATATGTGTACAAGGGTAGGCTTAAAGGCTTGTGTTAAACAAAAAGGGCATAAATCATTTCAAAACATGCAAATCTTAGATTTCACTTGGAGAGTAATGAGGCAAGTTCTAGCAAAGCAACCATTACCGGAATCTCACATAAGCCTTCACTAGCAAAGCGCAACGCACAAGATCAAGAATTTATTCAATTATTAAGGGGTTAACAAGACCATTGGCAAGAGAATAGATCAATCATGTGTTACACCTTGACTCATCAATCACAAGTTGCGTTGTAACAAGTCCCACCAAGGCAAACCACAAACCAACAAAGGGGAGTAATCACAAATTCAAGTATATAAAGGTAATTTATTCAACACAAAGCACAATGAGTCATCCAAGCAAGGTTTCAAAAAGTTTAATTTTTTAAATTTTTTTTAGAAAACACCCAAATTATTCCCTCCCCCACACTTAAAGACTACATCGTCCTCAATGTGAAAGAAAATAAAGCACAAGAGGAGAAATGACGGCACAATAAACACAAGGAGCACATTCTCTACTATTTACACTAAGTAAAACACTAAACACATTTAAACAAAGTAGAAAAGGTAGATGAGACTCCCCTAATGAATCTTCTTGTGCCAAAGAATCATCATAAAGCCTTCTTGAAATTGAGCAGACTCCTTAGTGTCACTCCTAGAGTCAATGAAATATACACATGAAAGCACAAGTGAAAGCATAATATATCAAAATTCAAAATATAAAGAAAAAATAAAATAAAATGCAATAAAGTGAACGATAACATGTGGTGCCTGCCATGAAGCGCTAAGTTTAATGTCGCTAGCTCGACTCAACCTCTCAAGATCAACCATCATTGGATTGGAGAAAGAACATCTCATCCTTCCTAGCAAACTTGTCCTCCAAATATTTTCTCAAGTGGTGGCCATCAACAAATTCTTTTAAGCTCAACTCCACCACTTTAAAGCTTAAGAATTGACACTTCTTCATATAAAAGTTCAAGTTTAATCCTTCTTCAAATCCATATTGATCCATAAATCAAATGAGGTTTTCTTTCTAAACCTTGGACTTTGATAGTAAACATAAGCTTGGTCAACTCTTTGATCTACATTCCACTTCTCTTGAACAAGCAATGGGAACCGTGGGTCCTTCTCATGCACCAATATGAATCGGGAGTCCTTAGATATAAATATAGGCCAATGTGGGCCTCCACTTTCAAGAACATCAACTCCGCCCGGTTCCCAAACTCTTGTAAAATTCTTACTATGGAGAGTGTCATCCATTAAAGAGCAATCCTCAAATTCACCTTGTATGTTATCAACTTTACTCTCCTTTACTTCTTCTTCTTCTTCAAATGGGTCATATTGCAAAAGTTCCTTGGCCCCATTATCTTCAATCTCAATTTGAGTCTCAATCTTGTCATCTTCTTCATTCAAATGATTGGATTCAAAACACTCCTCAAGCACTTCATTTTCAAGATTTTCCCTTACATTCTCATCTCCCTCAACCTCATTCCCTTCATTAGATAAGGGCAACTCTTGTTGAACCTCTTCTTTGGACAATGAATCTTGAATGGACTTTTGAGTTGCCCTACTTTGTATTTGAGCCATCATGTTATCCGTGGAGGTTTGTAACTCATCCAATCGAGAAGGTGTTTGCATTATCAAACTCATCAACTTGGACATCATCTCGGACTCTTGATCAAGGGATTGAAATCCTTGTTGAGGCTCTTGGTAAGATGGCTCTTGAAATTGGCACAGATGTTGGTAGTTAGGAGCATATGTATAGCAATTTTCGGCGTCATGTACTCCTCCACAAATGGTACACCATAAAGTTTGTGACATAGTAAATGATGGTGTACCTCCTTGAAAAGCTTCTTGACTCATGTAGGCAAGATTGAGATGTGGTTCTTGTTGTTCAATTCCTCCATATGTTTGGCTCATATTCCAATTCATTTCATATCCATGGGGAGGAATTTGAAATGGTGGTAAGGAGCCTTGAAACTCATACCCATACATATTTGAGCAATTAGCACTTGAGCACATAAGACAAATAAAAAGAAAATAAAAACATAGAAAAAATGGTCTAGTCTTCTAGAATAGTCATTCACTAATGTTAACTACCTCAAAACAATCAAAACCAAGCCATCCCCGGCAACGGCGCCAAATCCTAGTCCCAAAACACTTAGCTACTCATAATATAACAATAGATACACAGTATTAAAGGAGTAATTAAAAGCATAGATGGAAAGTAAAGATAAGAGATAATAAGAAAACTTCTCTATTGAAGCTTTGAAATTCAAGATTGCAATGTGTTCTTGAGCTTGGAAATGGAAAGGAACAAGAAATCTACACTAATCTAGGCTATACTAGAGCTAAACCTAACTAAGGAATGAAAAGGAAAATGAAAGATGTGTTTTTGGGGTAAAAAATCCCCATTTTAAATGAGCAAAAACGAGCTGATATGAGTTGCAGAGGGATGGCCACGACCCACGGGTGTGGCTTCACCCGTGGCCAGAAATGCAGTTTACACTGCCCAGTGGCCACGGGTGTGGCCATAGGCAGTGTGCACTATCTGTGCACTGAGTTCCTCTTCTAGGCAAGTTTTCACGCTCAAAACCTTTGAATTAGCATTTG